AATGTGGGATCATTACCTTTCAAGTATTGACAGATTATCTATGTGATTTAAGAACTTCTATAAAAACCTTAAAGAAGTTTTCTCGTTTTTTACATGTTCATCTAATTTTGTTATTGTTTCAATTTCAGGGGTCGGAAGTGGTTATCGATTGTGGAATTCGTCTTATTACCAAATTGCTCAAAGTATTGGGAACTCCAATAATTAAGAAATTCTTTCAGTTGAATCATGGTTTGGATGTGCTAACGCTGTTTTTAAAAGACTGGTGGGAGCATGACACAATCTTGTATTCGATTTTCTTGGCTGCATTTGGCATTGATACCGAAGTCACTCAAATCCTGAATACCACTAAAAGTAAGTGTTTAGTGGAAGCTATTAGAGCCAATGAAGATGAATTGAATCAGTTAGTTATGCCAGATTTTTTGATTCTTTTGAATAATATGGTATTAAACTCGATGTATACCTTGAACCTTAAATCAGGAAAGTTATTAGGTAGCAACCCGTCTACTCCAGATAGACGTCATATTGAAGAAAATGTTACATTGTCATTGAACACACTTCATTTGATCAATCAATATATTGATTCAATTAGTCTTGGATTTGAAATTATAAAACCACTTCAAGTGTTTTATACTAGTAAAGATTTCTTGGAAGGCATTGTTGAGTTATTGGGGTATTTGAGGTTATCATTACACTGGGATAATATAGATGTACAGAAATCAATGCGATCTACATATGACAAGCTTATTAAAGTCATTGCCAATTTTTACATTGCCAACTTATCCAATGACAATTTTTTGCAAAGTTTTGACAAGTTAAGTGATTTCACCAAGAAGTTATTACTAGACCTTGTGTTTCCAAATTTATTAGAACATATCAATCAATTCATAACCATTTCAAATTTTGTATTTAATGAAAAAAAATTCTTCAATAATACTATTCAATTATTACACCATTACAATGAGGAATTATTGAGACAGAAGTATTACGTTTCAACGGAAAATTTTGATACATTTTTAGTTTGTGCTATTTCAATTAGTGATATTGGAATTGGCCATGCTATGGGTTACCTTAGAAGAATACTTGGTGATAATATCGTAATCAAGTTCCTTCGTTGTGCTTTTGATATTGAAATTCTGTTTGAAGAATGTCTGGATAATTTGAATACGATTTTGAAAGAACTATTGTACCGACAAACCACAACTATGAGCAAAGATGTGATTAGTAATGACCAATTGATGTGCATAATTACCTTGTTACTCGGACTTGTGCTTACTACTGGACCCAATGACGAAGTTCTAAATCCTGAATTGCCTTTTAATTTCTTGAGAACGTTTTATTTGATGAGACAGGATGAAATACCGGGAATTATCAATCATATGAACTATGATAAGAACTTGATGTTAGATTTTTTCAACAATCTAGTCACCAAGAATGATAGTGAAACATTAATGAGATTGCAAAAATACCCGCCATTTGTGAAAAGTATAATCAAAGAATCAAATCACTTAAAGGAAATTTACAATAAAACTGATTATCAAAAAGTGTCAAGTATGATAACAGTAACACTACACAATGGCGGTAAGTTAGGACAAATGAATAACATCTACATAAAAAGTTTTGAAAAAGATTGTGAACTGATGAAAAACCAGATTATGAATACTGAGTTGGTAAAGTTTAACAGATTGGTGCAAGATAATGAAGAAAACATTAAACATGCAATTTCAACATATCATGGGTTAAAAACTGAGATTTCCAGATTGTTTAATGGAAATGACATTCAGCATAAGAATTATGTGCTTGATTATATTGAAAATGTTGATCGTATGAGAAGAAGATTGGTGGTTGAAGATCAGATACCAGAATCTGAAAAGCTAACATATAACATTGATATTCCATTGAAGAAAATTGGTTCTTTTACAGATGTAAGTTTTATTCGTGAGTATGATTATGCGATAAGTGCAACTGGGATTGATACTTTGAGTATTTCTAACGATGACGTTCACAATGGTGATGAAACGTTTGAGATAATTGACAGTAACGACGAAACAATTGAAGAATCTGAGCATAATAATGTGTTTGAGGATAAGAATAGAAAGGTTAGTCGAAGCTTGTTTTTTGGTGATCAGATTGTTACAATTTGGAATATCAGTCAGGTCAATGGATTAGTACCTGCTGAAAGTTTGATGATACTTGGTTCGAGTCATTTGTATTTGATTGAGAACTACATTCTTAGCAAAGACGGCAATGTTATTGACGTTGATGATGCACCAGATGAGTTAAGAGATCCTATTTTACAGTTAGTTAACTCCCAATCGAATAATATCTTGAAGAATGAGAACAAATTACACAGAAGTAAGAATTGGGGATTAGACAAGTTAAGCTGTATTTCCAAGAGACAATTTTTATTGAGAGACATTGCGTTAGAGATGTTTTTTACGGACGGTGCAAGTATTTTAATCACTTGTATGTCAACTAGAGATAGAGATAATATTTATTCTAAATTGTCTTCGTTTGCTTCGGGAAAAGGTGTGGATTATGATTTAATTCAGACACTACAATCATCCAGTGCAAATGCATATTATACTGGTGGATCATCATCGTCATCATCATCATCCTCTTCATTCCTTTCATCCAAATTGGTATCTGCTCTTTCTCAGAGTGGACTTTCAAGCAGTATATCATTTCTTGAAGCGACCAAGAAATGGAGGCAGGGTGAAATGTCTAATTTCTATTATTTGATGATTATAAATACATTAGCAGGAAGGACGTTTAATGATTTATCGCAGTATCCAGTTTTCCCTTGGGTTATTGCTGATTACACCAGTGAAACATTAGATTTATCAGATCCAAGAACTTTTAGAGACTTATCTAAGCCAATGGGCGCACAAACTCCGAATAGAGCGAATAAATTTCAAGAACGATTTGAGGCTTTGGATAGTTTGAATGATCACGATGCACCTGCATTCCATTATGGTACGCATTATTCGTCGGCAATGATTGTCACTTCGTTTTTAATTAGACTTAAACCATATGTTCAGTCTTATTTGTTGTTACAAGGTGGTAAATTTGATCATGCTGATCGATTATTTAATTCGGTAGAGAAGGCTTGGTTATCAGCTTCAAGAGATAATACTACTGATGTAAGAGAATTGACTCCTGAATTTTATTATCTTCCTGAATTTTTAGTAAACTCAAACAATTTTGAATTTGGTAAATTGCAAAGTGGAGAGTCTTCAAATGATGTGAAATTACCACCATGGGCCAATGGTGATCCTAAGGTTTTCATAGCCAAAAATAGAGAAGCTTTGGAGAGTTCTTATGTGTCAGCCAACTTGCATTTATGGATTGATTTGATATTTGGATACAAACAGAATGGTGAAGAAGCTGTCAAGGCATTGAATGTTTTCCATCACTTGTCTTACAACGGAGCTATTAATTTGGATAATATTAGTGATGAAACAGAAAAACGTGCTGTCATTGGTATGATTAACAATTTTGGACAAACTCCAAGTAAATTATTCACCAAGCCACATCCAATGAAAGATGTACTTAACTTGCCGAATTATTACTTGACATTGTTTGATTCGGGAGCAACTAATTTAAAAACAGCATTTGAATCGAAAATGAAAGCCCCAATTGTAAAATTGGAGATGAGTTCAAAAAATGCCAAAAGATGGGTTGGTAGACAAAACTGTATTTCATGTGAAGATGATTTATTGATTAGAAAATCTAATAAATTGAAATATGAAAGTGGTTCATTGTTGATCAATGATCTGTTATTTTTGAATTTACACAGCGGTAATATAACTGCATTATTGCAATTGGGTCATAAATTGTTTGTCACTGGTGCTTCTGATGGAATAATGAATGTTTGGAAATGTAATCTCCGACCAACGACAAGTTTAGTTAGCATGGCTATATTAAGAGGACATTTGACAAGTATCTTGAAGATTGTTTTTAGCAAGAGCTTCAAATTTGGTGCAAGTATAGATAGAGATGGTTATGTTATAATATGGGATTTCATTAGGTTTCAATTTGTTCGAAAGTGGTCACCTCCATTAGAATATACTTCTAACCTGGGCAAGCCATCGTCTTTGTTGGCTGTTTCAAATGATTCCGGAAATTTTGCAACTGTGCATTTTATTGAAAACAGGGTTATATTACGGTTATTTAGTGTTAATGGAGAATTGATAATCACAAAAGAAATTGAGTATACTGAAGACAATCCAATTACAGCAATTTCATTTGCAAATACCAACACCACTATGGTTGATACAGACAGAACACTTAATCATAATAGACATATTTACTGGTCAAATGAAATTTTTTCAATTACTAGAAAGAAAATGGTTGAAATTTGGGAGTTGGTTCATGATAATAAAGATTGGGCATTCAGAAATATGGATCAAATTGATTTGACAGATAAAATTGCTGGCGATATCACGGCCATTGAACTATTCAAATGTTCTGAAGTTGATCATGATGATAAATTGATCAGAGGTGAATTGAAATTGATTATCGGTGATTCTGTAGGGAAAGTATATACTTTATAAAGAGTCATTCTCCAACACCACCCACAAAAATAAAATATAATGATTGAAATGAGTCAATGTGGATCGGCTTGAGTTTTTTGTCTGTAGTTCGACCTAATGGAGTAAAAAATTGCGCTAACCCCGTGTATGCCATCTCTCCGCGGCAATGGAATCGCGATCCCGAACCAATTAAGCATTATGCAGAAATTAGTCCAATCCGTTTTAAATTGATGCTTTTTTTTTGTCATTATGTTATTCCGATTTCCATAACCCTTGAAAGAAAAAAAAAAAAACTTGGAGTTAATTCCATTTTCCCTTTTTACCCTTTTTGAATAGTAAGAATAACTATGGCATCTACTACTTGTATAAATATTGAAACTCATAGAGATCCTATAAAAGTCAACAGAACAGCAGTTGAAACAACAACTGAAGCACAATCACCAATAGAAGAAATCACAGAACGATTTCTGATTGAAGTAATAGAACTGAATTCAGATAATCCAGAAATTTATTATCCAGAAGGAGGATTAAGAGCATATAGTGTAGTATTAGGTTCATTTATTGGATTAGTTGCTACTTTTGGTACTTTAAATTCAGTGGGTGCTATACAAACTTATGTTTCAACTCATCAACTTGCAGGTATTAAAACATCTACAATATCATGGATTTTTTCAATTTATATTGCTCTTTCATTTGCAAATTGTATGGTTGTTGGACCTCTATTTGATGTAAAAGGGGCTTTATTACCAATGCTAGTAGGAACATTAATGATATTTGGTGGATTGATGGCTGTTGCAAATTGTACTACAGTGGTGCAATTTATTTTTGCATTATCTATTTGTGTAGCTTTAGGGAATTCATTAACTATAACTCCATTAGTTGGTGTGATTAGTCATTGGTTTAATTTGAAAAGAGGAAGAGCATTGGGTTTAGCAACAATTGGTGGATCTGTTGGCGGTATTGTAATTCCATTAATGTTGGAATCATTATATGATAAAGTTGGTTTTCCTTGGGCTATTAGAATATTGGCATTTTTTTGTTTAGCCTGTCATATCACAGCGATTGTTTTGTGTCGTGAAAGAATATCCCTGACAGGTGTTACAACTCCTAATAGTGATGATAGTACTGGTTGGAAGAATAATGAATTATTGGTTAGTTTAATTCAAATTAAAGATCAATTTGAGTTTAAAGCATTATTGGATATGAAATACTTATTCTGTATAATTGGCACTTTTTTCACTGAGATTGCATTATTATCTATGGTTACTTATTTGGCAACTTATGCAATTTCTAAAGGTATGACGGAATCAAAGTCATATATTTTATTAACCATATTCAATGCAACTGGTGTGTTAGGAAGATTGGTCCCTGGGATATTGGCTGACAAATTTGGTCATTTTAATGTGATGGTATTAATGTTGATTGGATTCTCCCTCTCAATGTTGATACTTTGGTTACCATTTGGTTCAAATCATGGAGTTCTTTATGCGTTCACGGCGATATGTGGTGTTTTCAGTTCTTCGATTTTGAGTCTTACACCTGTCTGTTTAGGTGGAATTACTCCAGTGCATAAATTTGGACAGAGGTATGGTCTATTATACTTTTTTGTTAGTTTGGGTAACTTATTTGGTATTCCTGTTAGTGCTGCTATCATAGGTGAAGGTTCTTCCCACAATTATGACATGTTTGCATTATTCTGTTGTATATTTGGGGTTGTGGGTACTTGTTGTTGGTACGTTAGTAGATTCTTTATAGTTGGTTGGAAGTTAAACGTAAGAGTATGAATCTATATATATATATATATATATATATGAAGTCAACCTATCGCCTTTGTTTAGCACCAATTGGTCTATTGGCACCGGTGGATTTTATAGGAGTTTCTGCTTTTTCAACTTTTTCCAATCTTTCTTGAGCAACTTTTGTTTGAATATCATTCAATTCAGCATAAAATTCAGGATTAACAACCTTAAGTATATAAGGAGCAACCATGACAGCTACACAAATACTGAATGTGATTGTTAAAGCTCTATTCTTGAAAACGAATCCAAATGGACTATTCAATATCATATCTTTAAGACTACCCCCTGCATACTGATAGAATTCTTTAGTAGCAAAATAATTTATAACCAATGGTGATTTATCATTTAATTCAACTGCAGAACTAACATTGTAAGAATTTTCACCAAGTTTATGTTCATAAGCAATCACTGAATCATCACTAGCGATAATTTTGAATCTATTATTATAAAATGTAAAATCATAAGAATTGACAATTAATTCGTATTCTCCAGGTTGTAAAGAATTGAATTTAAAATTATAATTTGAATCTATAATTGTTGAAATTGGAGTAAATGAATCGGATGGATATAAATCAACTTGAATTCTGTTGTTATAATTCTCCCCATTCGGAACAATCTTATTCTTAGTTTTGAACAATTCGTTAACTTCAGGGATTCCTTGAATTTTTCCTTTAAATCCAGTTGCCAATGTTAATGTGATACAATGGAACAAATATGCAATTATTATTGTGAGTTTCATTATTTTCGTTAGTGATTTGTGAGTTGGATATCTGTATTTGCTCCCTGGTTTTCCCTTTTTATTATTTTGTCGCTTTGAAAGTTTCCTAGTTTTTCGTTCACAGTTGACAACATCTTGCCCTAATCAAAAAAAAAAAAAAAAGAATCCGCCATTTCCTAATACAGTATCTTCGTGCGGCTCGAGGTTTTTCAGTATTTAAGAAATTTTTCAGCAGCGAAAATTTTTTTTCTTCTTCTTTTGTTTTCCCCTTTTTCTTCTTTTTGATTCTGTATTGTACATACGTATGTGTATTATTGTAGGGCAACTATCCTTTAATTAAAAAAACTTCCTACGATTGTTGCTCTCTACAACGCATACCAGAGTAAAATACAGAGAAGATGGCATGATCTTGATAGATTTTTCATGATTTTATTAGGCTTTGACATCTTCATACATTTTCATTTGATAATCTTTTTGTATGATCCTCTCGTGTGATTCTTGTAGATGTTCTTCTCGAAATACAACTCTTTTCTAATCTGAATGTTGACCTGAATATTTCAACTAAACTCAAATGAAGTGAAACGGTTTTTTTAAGACAAGGTCATCAGAGAACAACGGTAACTTTTTTTTTGGTGAAGTTTTGTTCCAAAATTTTATTGAAAAAAAAATAATACAATACTGTCAATTTGCAACAATTATAGACAACGTTTGTCAAGAGTCAGACAACAATGCAACGACACCACTAGTTTGCTATAAACTATAAGCAACACCACAATTACCCTTTCTACTATTAAACAAGTCTTTTTTCTTAGATAGTAATAACTACATCAGACAGTGTATGATTAAATATTGGAGGAACTGTGTGAACTCCAAGCCTTGTGCCTTACATGAAGCAAATACATTCCGCTATCCAAGATCTTTAGTTTATATTCAATCTAATTGAGTTTCATCATACTTTAAAAAGCCAACTTACAATTACTGCGGCTCATTTTTGATACACGTAAACCACAAACAACGAAACAGACACGAAATACACGCACACTCCAAAAAAAAAGAAATCAACGGAAGAAAAAAAAATAAAAAAAATTTCCAACGAGACTTCACATAGCCAGAACAAAAAAAAAAAAAAAAAGATATCGCTGTACACATCATTCTTGATTACATCTTACACAGTAACGTCAACCAAATAAAATGGCCAACTATTTAAGCTTAGCTGTATGTATTCAATGATAGATATGTGTTCGATTACTATTACAATGAATGTTTTTATACTAACATGAGTTTTGTTATAGCAATTTAGCAATGTTTCAGAAAGATTCAATTTAGATAGAATCAGATCAGATTTCAACTCAGTTCAATCCACCATTTCCAAACTAAGACCACCTCAAGAATTCTTTGATTTCAGAAGAGTCTCCAAGCCTGCCAATTTTGGTGAAATCCAACAAAGAGTCGGTTTCAATTTGGGTTATTTTTCTGCCAATTATATCACTATTGTTTTGGCTTTGAGTGTTTACGCTTTAGTCACCAACTTTTTATTGTTATTTGTTACTGTATTTGTCTTGGGTGGTATTTATGGTATTAATAAATTAAATGGAGAAGATTTGGTTTTACCAGTTGGAAGATTCAATACTTCTCAATTATATACTGGTTTATTGATTGTTGCCGTTCCATTGGGTTTCTTGGCCAGTCCTATTTCCACCATGATGTGGTTGATTGGTTCTAGTGCCGTCACTGTTGGTGCTCATGCTTCATTAATGGAAAAACCAATTGAAACCGTTTTTGAAGAAGAAGTTTAAGCATAGGTCAATTATTTTCTTTTCTTGGTTGTACATTATTTATATATATACTTTAGTAGCAATATTATCACAGTTTTTTAAGGTCACATGTCAAAATAAAACTCCTCCTGTAAAATGTTTCTTGTTCCTACAATACATATCGAATTTATGATAGCAAAAAAAGAATATCTAATGCTAATAATTATATCTGTCGTATTAAATAAACCCATTATAAAAATATTTTATACAAAAAGTAATTCCAAAAAAAAAGACAACATAAAATGAATATAAATACAAGAGCAACCACGATCAGCTAAACAAAAAAAAATATACCTCTGTCAAAGATGAACATTTCAACTCTTAAAATTAAACCATTCCTTTTAGTATCTTTTTTTTTTATAAAATCAAAACAATATTGAGGAAATCATTAATATATGTATATAAACATTTGTACCAATGAGCTTAGATACCCAACTTAGTTCTTCTCCAGTGTCTTCTTTTAGCATTGTATCTAATTTTGTTGTCAGTTCTCAATCTGATCCATTGTGGCAATGGTCTGTTTTGTTTTTGAGCCTTAGCTAATTTTTGCTTAGTTCTGAAAGATTTTTGAGACTAAAGAAGTAATAGTTAGTACAATTATTCATGTGTTATTTCATACTATCCAGATGATGAGTTCTATTTCAAAGGAAAACTCCCTGTTGAGTAACATCCTATGTCAAGTAATCCAATATTTCATTATATACGGCATGAGTTCCCATTTGAATTTGTTATATCATCTGTTGAGATTATGATGGTGGGCTATGGGGGTACATACAGGCATCTTTGATCTTAATTAGTTACTGTAGAAAGAAATCTGTAAAACTTTCATGAAAAATTTTTGTTTTAGAAAGATTTTTTTCCTTCCAGAGTCTGAGCGAGCGAGCAAAGACAGAGAGAGAGAGAGGGAGAGGAAACACATTCACTATGAGAGAATTCAGAGTGGGAAAAAACAAAAAAAGAGTACCAATATGCAGGTCATAATTTTTTTTTTGTCTAATGTGCAAAAAAAATTTTTTTTTTTCTTTCACTAACGCTTTCTCACGCGCACAACCTTGGGGAGGTGGAAGTGAAGCAGGAAGTAAAACGAAAAAAGAAAAAAAAAATTTCAGTTGATTTTTCACAACTCCTTTTTGGAAAGTTTTACAACATACAATTCAACCATGACTAGAACCTCCGTCTTAGCTGATGCTTTAAACGCTATCAACAATGCTGAAAAAACTGGTAAGAGACAAGTCTTAATCAGACCATCATCTAAAGTCATCATCAAATTCTTGACTGTTATGCAAAAACACGGTTACATTGGTGAATTCGAATACATTGATGATCACAGATCCGGTAAAATTGTTGTTCAATTAAACGGTAGATTAAACAAGTGTGGTGTTATCCAACCAAGATTCAACGTTAAAATTAACGACATTGAAAGATGGACCGATAACTTGTTGCCAGCTAGACAATTCGGTTACGTTATCTTGACCACTTCTGCTGGTATCATGGATCACGAAGAAGCTAGAAGAAAGCACGTTTCTGGTAAAATCTTAGGTTTCGTTTACTAGATTAAACATGTATAAATAGCATCCTTGTCATTAATATATCATTTAATAATGGTTCGTAAATTTCAATGTTATTTTGTAAGACCAGGTAGCGATACCTCATCTAATTTTTTTTGTTACTGTAAATTAGGGCTATAACCCTGAGTAATATTTTTTACCACGTGAGTGCGACATTTATTAGGAGACTGAAATTTTTATTGTGCAAACCTCACATTTACAGTTTTTCACTTGATTTTTTTTTTTTTTTGCAGGTTCCCGTACCAATACTAACCGTGCGAACTACGCAGTGAGGGAAAAACAAATTATCAAAAAAAGTTGAAAACTCTTCTTACAGTAATACCGTTTGATACACATATACACAGTAATATCAAAGATGTCCACTGGTATGTTCATAGTGTACCGAATATATGTGAAAGAACTCAATAAATGATAGAGGAGAAGATAATTATGAACTATATTGAGTCGATGGCATTCCCCCTATAAACCAGAATCAATGAAGTTATGGAATTGAAAATAATGAATTTTTTTTAAAATGGATAATTGTGAATATGATAAATGAGGTTTGAATTTGTAAAGAATAATGTAATTAGAGAAGTTATAATCATCATCTTACTATATCAAATTATTGAAAGTTCTTAATTTTGCATAATCCAGGCATTGCCAATTTTTGATTGAACTTTTGAAAAAATACTAACATATAATTACTTATAGACCGTTCCCAAGTTTTCGGTGTTGCTAGAATTTTTGCTTCATTCAACGATACTTTCGTCCACGTTACTGATTTGTCCGGTAAGGAAACCATTGCCAGAGTTACTGGTGGTATGAAAGTCAAAGCCGACAGAGATGAATCCTCCCCATACGCTGCTATGTTGGCTGCCCAAGATGTTGCTGCTAAATGTAAAGAAGTCGGTATCACTGCCGTTCACATTAAATTGAGAGCTACTGGTGGTACTAAAACCAAAACCCCAGGTCCAGGTGGTCAATCCGCTTTAAGAGCTTTGGCCAGATCTGGTTTGAGAATTGGTAGAATTGAAGATGTTACTCCAGTTCCATCTGATTCTACTAGAAGAAAGGGTGGTAGAAGAGGTAGAAGATTGTGATTTTGGTTATATGTTTTATTTTATTACATATTTACCATTAATTTTTTCACAAATACTACTACTTGACTACATGATATTAAAGTTTTTTGGGGGGTGAGATAAATTTCTTTGATTTTACTAGATTGAAGATGTTTATATTGTATTCTATTCTGAAAATGCATTCGATGATTGTATAAAGTTAATATATACATAATTTAAGAAAACAGTTAAAAAAACATAATTTAGGTTATAGAAATTAAATTCATTGTAGAGTAAGAAAGTACGACGACGACGACGACGACGACGACGACGACGACCTACACAGGGCGATTTTACGACCAAAGCGAGGCGAATTCGCGTAGACCCAAACAGATCAGAACAAGACAAAAAAAAACTATTAATCTTGAATATGTCAAAACAATCAACAGCATATACGTCCCATAAATTGAATGTCACTATTGGTTTTACAGAAAACCATTCTCCCGTATCTACGGTCAAGTGCAGCTTTGAATTTTATTCGAAATAGTTCTAGTTATCATGAATCATCAAAGGAGCAGATACATATAGCCTTAAATTTACTATGTCCTGGATTAGGTGATAAAAAATATGAAAGAGCCACTCAAAAAGTACTAAATAGTCTAAACGAAAGTTATCCACTACTAGATAAGCAAAATTTGTCAGCAAAAACATCCAATAATGTTTTAAATCCTAGTGATGAATTCATAAATGCATTTAAAGAATATCAGCAATCATTATTTCAATTCGATAAACCCGAAAACCCCGAAACTTGGATATCAGAACAGATACAATTGATTAAAAATAAACAGATTCCAAAAATTTTCATCCCTGATGCAAAAAAAGTATTGAATGATTTTGATTTCATGTTTCCTATTTATTCAAATAGTGAATTTATTAACAAATCAATGATTTATGAATTCCAAGAAGCACAGCATGAAATAAATCCTACATTTAATGAATTAATTGAACTAGATAAATTAAACCATGATATTAAATTCAATCCTTTATTTTTAATTGGTAATGATACAGAAGTTGGAAATGTATACCATGAATTATTTAAACAGGATTGTGATGATCAGGAAATCATCGAATGGTTGAAAAAGTTGAGACAGTTAGGTAAATCATCCATTACATACCATGCAATGTTATATGGTAAACCATTAAAACAAACACTTCCTACTTTTAAGATCCTACAAGATTGGTGCTTTCCAAAGATTGTCACTAACCGTCATTTGAAAGATTCTATGTCTGATGGAAACAATTCAATCCATCAATATTTGGGAATTATATCTTTGGTCAATGGAGAAATATCTCAGCAGTGTATACAAAGCATACACGAGTTTACAGAATCTGAAGCTATACTGAAAAAAGAGAATCTAAATTTGGATTTAACCAAAGAGCAGAAAGAATCTTTGGAGAAGAATTGGAAGAATTATTTTAGAATTGGTCAACTTACATTGGATTCAGTTATTGATCATTCAAAGTTGAATGGTTTGAAAGATGTAACTCCAATAAAGTTAACCAAACAGCAAACAGCAGCATTTGGATATTTGGTTTGCTTAGATTATGATCATGCAATTAAGTTTCTTGGTGTGAAACCGGTTTTCACTAAAGAAAAGATGGAGGATATTGTAAGGTTGTTTAATAATAGCAATTTCTTATTACCTGATATTGAACAAATAAACAGACAACCAAATCTGATTCAATTTAGGATCCCGATAATCAATAACAATAGAATTAATAGAATTCTTATGATGAAAGGGGATAAATCCAAGTTGGGTAAGATTATCGGCCAGAACAACATCACAGCGCTGTACAGATATGAATACTTTATTAGACTTGCCATTACAAAGCATTTACTTGATTTCCCAGATCACGTTAATGAGTTTTTACTAATAATGTCAAGTAGACCATTTAAATTATACATGGAGAATTATTTTGGATTTGGAGTACAATTCGATCAAGTATTTGGATGCATGTCAGAAGAACAAAAATTAGAATGGACAGATGATATGGTTAAGAAATTGAAATCAGTTATCGAAGGTTTTGATGCTATTTCTTTAGAATTATTCATAAAAGAATTCCGAACACAAGTGAATAAGAATTCACGTTTGAGAGTAGGAACCAATAATTTAAACAAATTATTAAATGAAGTTGACATTTCGATTAAAGATGACTACTTGCATGATCTTGGATTATCATTTATCAAGTATTCTTACGCGAAACATAATTTAAAATTAAGTTTACAACAATACATCCTTGTAATTAGATCATTAGAAAGTGCATTAAGTGAACTACAATTAACCAAAATCGGAAAAATAATCCTGGATAATACACTTGATGAAAATGAGTTATTTGTTGAAACTATCATTGATGCCATTAAAATTGATGGAATCGTATGGAAAAAGAGATTATCATCAAAAATGAAAACTTCAGGAATACCTACACCGAAATTCAAAGGTGTTCAAGTGAACTCACCATTTTTCCCGGATTTAAACCTCAAAGAATTGAAACTTCCAGTGGTTAAATATGATGATGACGATTTCAAGAAAGTGTTATTGATAAACTATTATATATTCTCGAAAGTCATGACTCAAGTGAATCACAAAAACAAAAATGCTGATTTAGGTCCATTATTAGAAATGGTTTCAAAAACCGCTATGCTTGGAAGCTCATATTTTGAATATACCACATTATTTAAATTGAAAACAAACAAGTTCAAACATATGCTCAAGGAAAAGAAACTAGTACGAGATATATGCCAAACCACTGGATTACACCAACCATTCAGTGGGAAATTTGGTGTTTCCTACAATAGGGAACTTAAATTAAGAAACAAAAATCAATACTTTGAATTGGCAACCTATATCCAAATGTTTAACCAATATTTGGGTTTACTTTTTGTGTATCATAAGAAAGATCTAGACTTGTATATAGATAAATTGGTCAAACAATTGACTAAATAGATAGTATTCAGCACGAGGAATGGACTACTATTACCTAATTCCAGTAATATTTACAACAAAATCAACCCAATAAGGGGAAGGAACAAGTTGTACAAATTCAATTCTATCATGGTATTCTTCTTCTCTTATCATGAGTTTGTGTGAATTTTTCCCAATTAGGTTGCAATTTCCAGTGCACTAAAAAGAAAAGTTCACAACCCCGAGTCGTGCACTGTTTCAACAAAGTTGCGAATTTGATAATTGTTGGTTATCGATTAAGAGGAGAAGGCAATCTTGGAAGTAGATACAGATCATTACTTTATCTTGAATTTATTTTAACCCTATTTGAACACAATTTCCATAAAGTATCATAATGTGTAATTGTATTTAAATCCATTGTGACCCGTGGTTTTTTTTTTTTTTTTCTAGTTTACCATTTGATCACTCCTTGATATTCAACAATCAACAACTTTAAACCATGGATTATTCACAGTTAGGGGTTTTAATAGTTGGTGTTACTATTATATTATCTTACAAACATATCAGGTTATTAATTAGTAAATTTACTAGTGGTAAACAAGTCAAGGAAAAGGTTTCAAGTAATGAAAAGAAACAACCATTATATGGATCAGATGAACCATTACCTGAACCAACTCCATTGATGATTACACCAGAACAAGTAGAAAATTATGATGATAGACCATGGAGACCATTTAGATGGCCATATCATCAAACTATGTCAATTTTTAAGTTGGATATAAATCATTGGTTAGATATGGATAAATATTATATTCATTATATTAAAGAAAAGGAAAGAATTAGACATAAATATGGTAAAGAAAATTTTGATTGGTTACCTGAAGGTTACGATGCTTGTTTTGAATTAATGGAAACTGTTGTTAATCATTTAGTTAAAAGATATCCATTATTATTTACTGTTTTACAAGATGGTGATTATGAGTCTGGACAAAATGGTTGTGGCAAAATAATTAGAAATGAAATAACAAAAGAAGTTTTAGATATGACATTACCTTTAAAAGATCATCCATTGATTTATGTTTCTAAATTAGCTAAAGAGGATTTCTATGTAGTTTTAAAGAATCCAAAAGATGGGTTACACTATTTGGTTGCAGCAGCTGTTCCATTTCCAGGAGGGACATTTTCCATTGATAAAAAGATTGGTAATCATATTGATACTATTCATGCCGAAGTTCCTTATTATAAAGAAAAATTGAAGAAATCAATGGAAAGATGGCTTCATAGAATGAAACCAAATGAACCTGTTGAAAGAGCAAGTTGGTATATTACATGGGATGTTAATTTAAAAGTTAATAGCGTCTATCAAATTCCAGAATTTAGACCTAATTTGGAAGCAGATATGAAATCAACTGATCCTAAACATTTTAATGTTAGAATTGAAAGACAAACATTAAGAAGATTACCCAAATCGCAAGCAATTATATTTACTAATCATCCAGTGTTTTATTCTTTGGAAGAAATGCAAGATGAACCAATGATTCCTTCATTATTAAAGAAAATATTATATGAAGGACCAGAAGATATTTTAAAATATAAGAATATGCCATTAATAAGAGATCATCTTGTGGGATATCTTGATGAATTAATTCAAAAACAAAAAGATTTAAAAATCATTGATGATGAAACTCCACTTAAAACTCAACCAACTTATCCTTTTGCTCATTGGGTTAAAACTGATTTTGATTACATCAATGGATGGAATAATCCAAGCCCTGCATATGATAAAAATCAAATGAAAACTGATCTCTACAAACATAAGCCATTGGCAGAAAATGAATAGTTTTATAGAGAATATATGTACAACTACCGATACTTTTTTTTGTAATTTTAATCAAGAGGGCTTAGACAAAAGGTCATTCATGTATTATTCGTCTTGGTCAAGATCTATTTTTATCAAACTAGTCATGATCTGGATAGTCAACAGTAGCCGCAATGATGGTCTTCCCCCCACTACTTGGTTCCATTTACACCACAAGAAGTGTCGCGTTGTCGGATACATATTAAATGGGTACAAACCGTGACTTTATAAATCCCCAAAATTGAAATCTAGGCTCTTTTTTTTTATGATGTTCTATTTCCATCTATATATCCTATGTGTTGATATACTCAAACTGGTCGTAAATGAAACAAATCTGAAATTTGTTGATGCAAAATTATGTATGTAATTAAACAAACTAAAAATGAACAATAAAAAGCATACTCTCCGTTGTTCCTATAAATAGAACAACTATTTTTTTTAACTTGTATCAATATACTTCCCCGTTTTTTTTTAAAACAATTTATCTTGCTATGATATTCTACTGACTTTAATAGGAACAGTCAGACGTGATCAAGATATCTACATGTCAATAATTACTCCAAATCATCAAATTACGTCATCGTTCGGTTATCACACGAGACGAGACATGTTGTAGCAAGGAGGTGGACAGGAAGAATAGACCAACGTCGGTCGTGTGAGGGTCAATATCTCCTTGGTCCCCACGGTTCGTGTAAGGTTTATTTTGAAACCCTATTTTCTCTTTCCTCCCCGTGTAACAAGTTACACAAGGAACTTTAAACGATTAAACTTCTGTAACCCACAACATAACAATGTATTTGTGATTTGTTGACGGTGTGTCAAATTCAATTTCTATTTGCCAATATCTTTTTTAAGCACACTCCTTTTTCCATTTTTAAATCTATTTTGGCTGACTTGTGTGTTATTTTGAGCTATAAATTGCAAGGAGTTTACTTATCCAAAATAATAATAATAATAATAATAAACCATAGGATTTACCTGGTAATTCCTAGGATCAGTTAAAGCGATTCTCTAGATTATCATTCTCATTCAAATCAACAAATTGACTTCACTTTCTATAATAATACACCAAACTAAAACTATTGGAGAAAGGGATCACAAAGAGCTGGTAATTTATAAGATTATTACATTAGAGGTGATAAATTTACATACCAATTTTTAAGTTTTTGATTTAGCTTTTTTGTCATAATCTTCCTTATTTCCTTCATTCCTGACACACACACACATACATACCTAAGCCTACGGATAGAGGTACCGATACTGATACAAAGATCTAAGATTTGATTGTTTAAGAGTTGAAAACAAAACGCGAAAAAAGGAGAAAAAGAGTTAAAAAAAATTTTGTTCTTTTTTTTTTTTTTTTTTCTCCTGTGAGACAAAGTAAGGGAATCTCTCTGTTACAATTTTCTGGCGAGAGAGAGAGAGAGAGAGAGATCAAAAAGTAAGCTTCTCATTCATACAAATTTGTTTCATTTTCTTTTAAAACAAGGTCAGGTTACCACGTCTTATCCAAGCTTGTCTTTGCTCCCCGTTTTCATTGTCATTAATAATTTGCTAAAAGCGAAAAATTACTCCCCTTGGGATCGGCAATTCTGACAACCATCTATTATATAAAAAAAATAAACAACAACGCAAAAAAAAATTTAGTTAAATATGGATGAATATATCAAGAGTACTTTGGAGGTACCTACAAATATTAGGCATTATCCAAACTCACCGTTACAGTCCATAGAAAGACTACATAAACGACCGATCACCTCCCCTGAAACAAATAGCAATAACTTACCAGTTTCCCCTATATCACAGGAACTCATTAATGACGCAAATATGGATAGAGAAAGTATATATTCATTTGATTCCGTCAGTACAAGTGGTAGATTATTGGACAGATTAGGTCTTGAAGATGATGATGATAATTATGACGATGATTCTTATTCAATGCTCAACAAAAGGGAGAGCATGGCTTCGATACAAACCACAGGTAGATTATTGGATAGATTAGAATTGGATGGATCCAGAATGCAACCACAAGTCCAGAATAAAATGTTACCTCAACAAAGAAATGTATTACCCATTCAACCTGTCAATAGTTTGGGTGATATAAGAGGATTGAAAAATCAACTGAGTCCACAAGCCCTACAACGTCGTCTAACTGAATTACAAAAAGAAAACCATCGACATAATGTAAAAGAGAAAGTGGGTGAAGAAGAATTAACTAAAGATGAATGTATTAAAAATGAAGGGAAACCAAACTTAGTTGCATCGGTTCAAAAGCCCATTCAAACAACAATGAATAACATCCAACCACCTCAGAAGCCACAACTGGCCCCTGCACATTTAAAACATGTCCCCATGAATCTTGTGTTTAAAAATACAAACAACTCGGCGGAAACTATTAAATCAGATGCGGCTTCATTGAAGAAAGTTGACACTCAAAAATCACAGACTCCAGAAGGGAATGGTCCATCAAGTCTTTCAAATTCACCTATGTTATCTCCAAATAATTCTAGTTTCCCAAGTGCTACCAATTCTCCAGCAATAAGTGCTGCATCGTCTACAACTTCGTTAAGAACATTACAAAATCAATATCAATCTGAACCAAATGTGCCAACATTATCATCGTTGGAAATGAAAACAAGAGCAAATCGATCCAATTCAGTTAGACCTATTTCACAACGAGTACAATATGTCACACGAACACCGTCGGCACCAGCTATACGAAAAAGAAGTGACGAAAGTACAGAAAGACTCGGTATGAGAGTTAGATCAGATAGTACAAATTCTAATTTTCTGACAAATAGCATAGAATCAGCTAGTTCACAAGGAGCATTAACACCACCACCATCGTCATCAGCACAGCAACAACAACAACTTTTAGATTTATCTAATCCAGAGCAGAGAACAAATTATGCATTACATTTACGCAGTATTGGGAACCATCGAGAAGCATCGTATCAATTACAGATTGCAGCAAATATTCCTTTTAATTATCCTAAGGCAATGTTTTTATATGCTATGGCATTGAAATATGGTCAAGGTGTTAAACAAAACGATCGTCATGCTATCAAATGGCTAACTAAATGTATTTTATTGAGTTCACTGAGTATCAATTCTAGTAATATTTCAATCGTGATTGATAAATTAAATGGGTTACCACTTGAAGATGTGGTTAGATTGATTATGAAAAATTTACGAAATACAGTTGATAAAGATGTACACAAGAATGGACAAGATCCATTAAGTTTATATCCAATTTTCCTGAAATTAACTAAAAATCAAATTTCAAAAGTTGTTAGTGTCTCCAGAAGTAAAGGGGATGTAGTAGCTTGTAGTTATTTTGAACTTGGTATATTATTATTCAATGGATCAGGGTCAATAGAGGATGGAATTTGTTGTTTAGAAAAAGCAGGATCTATGGGGTATATTGATGCTATGGTTAAACTTGGTGAAATATGGAGTCAAAAATCCAAATCTCATAAAAAAGATTTAAATAAAGCTGCAGCTTGGTTAAGATTAGCAGAATTATTAGGTGTTAAAGACATTGGTAACTCATGGATTTATAAAGATAAATACAACAAGTAGATATATATTTATATCTAAATTTACAGAAATGTGCAATAAATTATCATAAAATTCAAACGAATTATATAAAAGTTCTATAAAATAAAACAATCTCAATCAATAATAAAACCAAATTTATAAATGATTCAATTACAATAATGAATCTATAATCAATTTTATTCTTAAAACCATGCAAATAGTTATCTTTGAACATTTTTGCAACAAACAAAATTGGAATACTAGGAGTAATATTAGTGAAATACATCATGAACCCAATCCAATTAAACAACATCCAATTCAATTCATCAATGAAAATCCAAACACTTGGAGTATCAATTAACAATTGTCCATATCTTTTGAAAAATGGATCAATTTTAACTGGTGAAATAGGTGAAGTCACGGAAATATCATAATAATAAGCCATGAAATATTGGAATTTGATAAAACGTTCAATAATTGGTCGTGAAACATTCTCACAACTTTCATAATCAATGATGTCTGTTGTTTCTGGTGTTGGTTGGTTATCAGTCAATGAATATGTAGATAATCTATGTTTCAAAAGTGGGAATCTTTCTCGTGAACTTATAAATGGTATATCATTCTTGTTTTCTCCAATTGGTAATAATGGAGGAAGTAACCAAGAAAACCAGTTTATAAAAGACAATACTGTAAATTTCCCACTTGAGGTTGCTACTATCTGCTGGACATGGTCATGGTTATGATTGTCATTACGGTTATTATTATTATTATCATTATTATCATCATCATTATTATCATTATCGTTTGCATGTTTGCCGTGCTTATAGTCAAAACCGGCTCCACCACCGAATTCTAGTTTGCCACCATTAGGAATTTTGAATTTAAAATTCCCACCACCTCCACCACCATAATGTGTTTCATTTGAATGTATGGAACTATCATCTTCGGATTCTTCTATATTCTCAAACACTCTTTCAAGTTCTGGCAATATTGATTTTGTTGGACTTAAAGGTGGTGCTACAGTTTTGTGATCTTCTTGTTCTTCGACTTCACTGAAAGCAGCAATTGCAGTAGCATTGTTCAAATAATAAGTGTTTTGAGGAGATACAGAATAGAGCTTATCAACAAAATCCTGACAAGATTTATAATTCTTAACACAATTCAAAGTTGACATGGAACTGCATGATTTTTTCATTGGTGTAGAAATTGGGGACGATGGACCAGGACTAGCAAACTTATTACTTTGTAGGTTAAACTCTGTGGGTAGATCTTGAAATGAGAATTTCTTGTTCAACGATGTTTGGCCATATGGAACTAATGTATGACTAGAATCATGACTTGCTAAAGAGTTTCTTGATTTTATACCATTGGTGGTTTCTTCTTTGAAATTCTTGAAATTCTCAAATAAATTTTCAATTTGTTCAACATTATCAACAGAACTCTTATAATGACATGAATCTCCCCAAACATGATAATAATTCAAGAATTTTCTATAAAAATGTTCATAATCAAATGGATTGTAATGAATTATGTTGTTTAAAATAATGGTGTAACCTAACCATACAAACACCATATCAAAAATATCAATGTTAAATTTGTAATACTCATAATAGATTATACTCAATTTTATTGATTCCTCTATAATGGGATATATGAATGAATCAAAGGTTGAACAATTACCACCGATGTTTAACTTGTTACTTGTAATAAGTCGATAAATGAATTTGATAATATATGAAACAACTGCAATCACTACCCCTGCCATGATATCGGCAAATATTCCACAAGTGGCAGTCCAAGGATGTAGATGTTTATTTATGATATATGTGATATTAATAATTCCCAATGCTACTAGTACTAGTAGTAGTACAATATAATAGTATGAAATTACCTTCATAAGTTATACACTAATGGATATTAGGAATGCTTGATGTTAATAGTTTATTGAGCTTTGTTCGTAATAGTAATATTATTGTCGTTGTTGTTGTTGTTATTGACAATGATTCAGAATGATTTGTTACTTTCTTATTTTGGAATATAGAATTTATTAGGTGATGCTGGAATATAAAGAATAAAGAAAATATATATATTAAAAAAAAGTAACTGTAGGTGACAATATAATAATTAATTAAATAAATAAATAAATGAATAAATAAAAGTGATGATTATTTTCTTTCTCTTTGATATTACAATAATTATTATATTATATTAATTTTCATCTCCGACTGGGAAAAAAAGAAAGAGAGAAAGAAAAACGGAAATTTTGAAACCAAGGCAGATGTGCGTGTATTTGTGCACAAAAAAGAAACAAGAAGGCACATCGTATTTGTAGTGTACTTAGTGAAGAATGTGAAAAGTTAGCTTGTACCCCTCAATCAATTCATTCTGATTTGTAATCCCAATTTATTGATCCTTTTTTTTTGCCACAGTTACACACACATATTGAATTTTGCCAACCAAAAGGCAATCAAAGGGCAACCCAAAATATATCAACTTCAACCATGACAAAGAACGATTCGAAAAGAGTGATTCCACTAGAGTCCAATCCTGCTGTATTCACAGATCTTGCTTATAATTTGGGTTTAACACCAGTATTGGAATTTCACGATGTTTATTCATTAACTGATAAAGATTTATTAAACTTTTTACCTAATCCACTTTATGCTGTGATATTATTATTCCCATTGAGTAAAAATTACGAAGATTATAGAAAACAACAAGATTCAATTAATGATCAACCTTATAATAATGAATTGAATAATAAAATTAAATGGTTTAAACAAACCATTGGTAATGGGTGTGGATTATATGCGTTACTTCATATATTGACCAATTTACCAAGAGATTTAATTATTTCTAATTCAAAATTATCAAATTTATTAGACAGTGTCAAGAATGGATTATCTGTTGATGAAACCTCTTTAATTGTCGAAGAATTGGAATCAGAGATTAAATTGGATGAAAATTTTGGTGAAAAGGGCCAAACTGAAGCTCCTGCTGCGTCTGAATCAGTTGATTTACATTTTATTACTTTTATAAAAGGAAAAGATAATCATTTATATGAATTGGATGGTAGACGTAATGGACCTATAGATTTAGGAGAATCTGTTGATGAATCAAATATTATCAAAGATCCTTTGTTGACTGAAAAAATCCAATTCTATATTGACAATGCTGATGAAGCCAACAAGAATAACTTTGCAATTATGGCAATTGGGCCTTCAACCGATTAATACAACAAGAGGATCATTCTGAAGTCCACGCTATTTATATAAATAGGGTTGTAAAACAAAAGTATACAAATGTATATATATATATAAGAAAAATCAACCTTAACAATAAATGAAAAAAAAAGAGGACTTGGAAAGATTTCCAGTCCATTATTAATATGTCTAAATCATCACAGGCAATATCAAGTTAATAAGAAATGGTTAGTATTGATTTATCGTTGACCTTTAATATCGACTTTGTTAAATTTGGCAACATGGGCTTTCAATATTGGCCTAACTTTTGCCAGCATCATCTCTCCTTTAGTTTTATCAATCACATCACCCAATCGAAGAGAGCATAAATAATTATAACATGCATGAGTACTAGCTTTAGGTGATCCATCGTCAAATTTTAATTTTTCAACCACAACATTAAGATTCATGCTAGCAAAAGTATAAGCCATTGAATATAATGCCCTAATTCTGATTTCATCCAACATGCTATTCTTCAAAAATATAAATGCAGTTCTAGTTTCTTCAAGTTCATTAAATCTTGACAATTGGAAAAAGGATTCAAATTCACCTTGAAGAAGGTGGTTTTGAACCTCTAATAACGCCATTATGAATTCATGTATTAGTTTTTCCAGATCAGTCATCACAAAATGTTTAAAATCTGTAATTATGGCCAAATAAAATTTGTTAACTTCACTATTATTCTTGGTTGTTATTAAATAAATCAAACGATACAACATCATTTCAATTTCATGCAGAAAGTATTTATTCTTTAAAGTTGGATCGTTTCTTCTCTTTGTGCTGTACAAATTCTTTAATTGGGCTGCACATTGATTATAATCACTCAAATCATTATTTTCAATAGAAATACGGGCATTTTCTTCATAAACTATAATTGTAAAGTCTGTCTTGATGTGTTGAACAACAAGATCTTGACGAATCGACTTTAATTGATCACGAATGTATCCGTAATCATTGTTTTCTCTATATTTTCTAAGAACCAATGGTAAACTTTGAAATAAAATGAATTCTGGTCGCACGTTTTCAGGTTTGGCTTCATCTGTCAATCTCATATAACTCTTCTCGAGGTTTGTCGATGTTCCAACAATTTGTAAATTTGGAGTTTTTGTTTCATAAAAGCTAGAAATGGTGGTCGGTTTAGCCAACTCTCCAAATCTCTCTAAACGCATACGCTTTCGTTCTTCAGAATCAAAATTCGAAACAAATGGTCTTTTCCCGTTTGAATTTCCATTTTTAAACTTACTTTTAGGTCCTTTGAAATTTTGATTTTTGTCTTTACCTTTGTTAGGTTTTTGGTCTTTCTTAAATTTATTTTGGTTAGTAGTATTGTTCTGAAATCTATCAGGCACAATAGGAGGTGATGGTCCTGTTGAAGATGGAAGTGCACCACCTTGCAAATTTGAACCATCTGCTGGAGTGGTGCCATTGCTACCTCCATTCTTCTTTGATCTCATACAATCCAACTGAAACATGCCACCACCATCTAATATAGGGATAAGTTGTGCACTCCAGTTGTTGGTCTCAAGTACTCCCCTTTCCTTTGCTTGAATAATCAACTGACTCAATTGGTTCATCCCTGTTGGTTGCTTGTTAGGTTTTAACTTGCCAATACGTTGCATGCTTCGATTATGAAACTCTTGTAAAGATGGTGGCCAAGAAGGATCAAAATCCACTTTTGAAACAATGTTATCCATATTATTTGAAGGCAAAGGGTTTGAATTTGAAGGTGTCATAGTTGGGGCAGTAGTGGCAGCACCCCTAGTACCAAGAGGGATAAGGTTTGCATTCACCTTAGGTTTACTAGGCCCCTTACTACCGCCACCTTTCTTCTTACCTTTATTTGCTCCACCTTTATTTGGACTATTTGAATTTGCCATGAGTACTTGTGTTATTGTTCGCTATTTTTTCTTTCAGATGCTGACAATATGTATACTTGTTTGTCTTTGACTTCTTTACAGGGGTTGATATTGTAATGAGTTCAATTTTTTTTTTCTTCATCTTCCTTTTTATTTTGTCTCTTTTCTTTTTTTTTTTTTTTGTTTGTTTGTTAGAGGTTTATGTTCATTGCACGACTTAAAGAAGGTTGAGATTATTGGACCTGATGAACGCGTCGATATTCAGCTCGGAATCGGCCTGTCGTTTCCTGCCTGTAGTGCTCGATCTCGACAGTATGCGAAAATACCCATTCTGGTTTTTTAGTTTATCAATTACAGACAGTTGCTGTTAAAGAATAGGAACAGTACAGCCATTTGGTGCAAATCTTGCCATAATACATAAAGTGTTAGAAGAAAATAACTGTCTTTTTAGACCTACGTTTCCAAGGTTTGATTCCTCCAGCACAGTTAAGTTACAAAACGAGTAAAAATTGAAGTGCTAAAATCTGTAGTGAATGATAACTTCTTTCTAATACTTAATAGCAAATACAGTATTTAATAAACAACACTATTGTATTACAAAAGAGAACATCTCTACCCATGATCGCAACTTGGTGCAAAATGTACTACTTTTTTTTGGTTCAGTTTTTTCTGTTTTGTCTCGTTCTTTACTGTTGCGTTGATTTTCATTGTTTTTTGTTTTTTGTTGTTTTTTTTCTTTCCCCGAACACTAAGAAAAACTCACCTTTTACAAAAACAAATTATTCCAACTTTAATACCAACCATTAACAACAAACCTTGCACATTGCTGGGAATAATGAAATCATCGGTATTTGCTAGTAGTACTCCTCAGTCACGTAAGTCAAACGTGTCAGTAAACATGTCAAAGGAGAATGGATCAACATCTACATCATCTAAACGACCCAATAATGTTTCCTGGAATTTGGAAGAAATGATGTCAACATATATGTCCTCAGGGGCTCTTCCTCCATTGTTATCCCCAACTATTCCTGATGCACCATTTTTTAATTTGAAAGATGAAGAGGATGAGGAGATTGTGAAAGAAGAAAAGCCAAAAGAACGACCAGTACCCAAACAGGAAGCACAATTGAAAGCACCCAGACCAAGTTATCCAAAAATAAAGAAACGTCTACAGAATGATATTGATAGTGCTGAATCAAGCTCGGATGATGAAAGTGTGATCCGGCAACTTAAATCGCGAAAGTTATCGCCCACTTTACCCCCAATGTTTGAGAATACCCCTACTCCGATAAACAATGGTCAGCCTGATGAATCTTCCATTCTGACCCCAGCAAATTCGTCATTTACAAATAAGCCAACGAAAGTGGGTACATTCAAGTGGATAAATAAATTGAATGATCCTGCAAAACCAAAATTCCTACTACGGTTTACTGTCAACAATAAATTGAAGTACAAGAAATTCTTTGTCAAGCCAGCTAGTCCACTGAAGTTAAGTGGGTTTAAGATCCACTCCACAAATGGGCAACTGCCCGCACCACCAAAAGTGATTATTAATGATACTGAGAAACAAGAGTTTTTGAAGGAGAAAGAGAGACTTGAAAAGGAAATTACAAAATTGAAAGACAAACAGGAACAGTTCACTCGCGAACAAGAGGCAAAAGAAAGAAAACTACTGGAGCAAGAACAGTCCTTGAAGCAATTGGAAAAGCTGTTGCTTAAAAAGGAAAAAGAACTACAAGATTCGGAATTCAAGTTGAAACAATCTCCGCCTTCTGAATCTGACCAGAAACTTAGAAACCAATTACAGAGACTCACCCAGGATATTATGAAAAAGGGCCAAAATGAGGACGATACAAAAAGACTACATATCAATAATTTCAAGAACCAGGCATCATTGGATTTGTCAAGAGGACAACGAGATGAGATCAAGGAACAACTCCTGGATAAGAAGAATCACTGGTTCCAATTATCCAAATCGGCACAAGGAAAGGCTGACGATTGTCGCAAGAAGGACGAGTTGTTGTCTATTGTAATTCAAGTGGATGCATTTTTGTTGCGGATGGTGTCGAATGATTATGACGAAAGGAGCAAAATTGTGTCAGGTGTTTTACCTAGTGAGAGGTCTTGGAAAATTTTGGATCGAGACATCAGTGAATTTATTGAGCGAATCGAAGACTTGCTAAAACACAACATCAAGGACAAGATTTTTGCTGATTTCTGCAAGATTTTGAACTGCATTTTATTTCAAACCCGAGCCTTGATCTTAAAACGAATCAACGAAATCTTGTTGAGTGTGATCCAGCTGTATATCGACAAGAAGAACTCTGATTTGAATGGAAAGATCATTGAGTTGCAGCAATTGTCACTCAACAATAACAACACCATCATAGAGCATTTCATGAATTCCAACCCGGCATATTTAAATGCAGTCATTCCCGTACGATTCCCCATCACATGGTTCAACAAGTGTTTGGACTTGGATATACCCCAGAAGGCATACAACCTCGCTGACTTTAAGAGGTCAGTCAAGCCAAGTTTGCAGCTATACTACTTACCGTTTGGGAATTATACGAACTTGAATGAGTTGACAGCATTTTTGTTCAGTATCATGAAGGAGTTTATTGACATCTACAACAAGTTCAACAGTGCGAGTGCGATTATGTACCCGCTTCAGAGTGGTCAGCAGTAATTAGGATTGTGTAAATTCATGTAATATAAATGTAATATTTGTAATTGGTTGGTTGGTGGTGGTGGTGGAATAGCAAGAGCGTGTGTGGTGTTGATCTACAGATCTGATTGCGGATCTGCGGTAGGTTTCAAACTTTCGAGCTAGAGACTCTATGGCTCAATTGGCAGAGCATCGGATTCCAATGACTGGAATTCTCGGTTTGAAAAATCCGAAGGTTACAGGTTCAAGTCCTGTTAGGGTCAATTTTTTTTGCTGCGGAGATGAACATACTGACAAGTACATCTTGAATGGGAACACTTGTTCTTCTCTGTGGTGTGTTTTTCTTTTTGGTTGTGTTGTTTCCATGAATAGCGAGATATTAAAGGTTATAGAGTTGTTCTATTTTTAGAATACTCATTATCGCGATGCCATTAAAGGCGTTGGTGTAGCAGAACATATACATTATTGTTTGTGACTGAGCGGATGTCCTCTCCCTAATTCAGCGATAAAATCGACTAGAATATACCTCACAATTTTCATTTGTTGCAAGAATTAAGGCAATATACTACTCCTGTTCAATACTTTAAAGGTTTGTTGGAAACCATGAAGAATAGTCATGGTTGTATTGGGCAGTTGTGGTGGTTGTTTTTTTTTTCCCTCTCTTTTACAATTACTATTTGGTTCCAGAATGAAGGCGCCATAGGTACTGGCGCATGTCATGTAAAATAAATTAATTGCATAACGAGCTGAGAAGATTATAACCACATACTGTGATGAGACATGTTTACTACCTCATTAACTGGAAATCAAGGGCTCAAATTGCTTGTCTCGTTGTTAGGTGGTGTGCCTCTGTTTAAACTAATATGACAAACCCTGAATATCCCCAACTATAGCTGTGGTTAAGTTTTGAGTTTGTGCAAATAACACCACACCTTCATTCTTGTATATGACAAATTTCTGGTTGAAATATCATTGGACAACAACAAAACAAGGAGGATAGTCAGGAGAAGTATAGCTGAACTACTCTTTGAACCCTATGATATCATCAAGTCAATATGCTAAAAATAATTTGAAGAATTGAACTATAAATACCCCTGAAGAATTCCCTGAAAATTGTCTTTTTAATCTCTTCTTTCAACAACAAACAATCACTCAATCGATCAATCAATCAATCCATTACTACTATTACAATGTTGAAATTTGCTGTTATCATCACTGCTTTCTTGTCCTTTTTCTTCCAATCTGCTTTAGCTGCTCCAATCCAAGATGGATTCCGTGGTAATGTTACTTTGTACGTCAAGTCAGACAACTCTGAAATCGACGGTCAATTCCTTTACACTGTTGACAATCAAGTTGGTTTCAACAGATTGTTCATTGGTGACTATGTTGATCCAAAGAGTACTTTCTACTTGGTCAAATCTTACATTTACCAACAATTGACTGGTTCTAAGACCGACTATGCTGTCACTTACAACTCTGAAGGTTACTTGGGTGTTGCTGGTGGTTCTGATGGTGTTACCATTACTGACTACAACACTCAAACTGGTAAATTCCAATTCTCCGGTGATCAATTCTTGTACGCTGTCCATGTTGTTGACAATCCAAACGGTTATTCCGCTAGTCAATATGCTATCCAAGTTCACAACCCAAGCACCGCTCCAGAAAACTCATACAAGGTTGAGCTTTATGGTAAATTGAACTGGGCTGTCTTGTAAGCTGATGAACTTCATTGATATTCCTCATTACTATGGCTTTTAAAATTACTATTTGTTAACTTTCTTCTCGTTGCTTATTTTTCATTTCGGTTATTTCGTTACTTTGTTTAGTTTTGTATTATTTTTTAAGTATATTTTTCACATAATACAAATGATATCACTTTACTGCTTTTTGTATTTCTTCTTGCTCATCTTTTCGTTTTCTCCACAAAACGTAAACCTTGTTTTTGGGTGCAATGTTGCAGATGTGCGATTTGCGCATTAAAGAAAAATTGATCCCATACTATTTTTAGTATAACGAGAATGGAAAGAGAGTTGATTCTACGTGGCCACTCTCATTATAGAGGTTTGATGGTGGAAGAACGGAGAAACTTGTTGAGTAAAGAATGAAGTCGTCAACCTGAGACAGTGGTGTTCCTTCTCTCCTATTATGTTTGTAACTGAATTTGAAAGGGAGGATTAGACATACATTGTCTCATGCATGTAATTTATTTTCAGGTTGACACAGTGTCCCAGCTGAGAATTCAACAGTTTACTATTTTTTCTTGAAATTAATAATCTGTGTATTCCAACTTGTAAACGGTTTGAGCGAGTTGGTTGAGACATGTTTAGTACAACAAATATCAACCGTGGTGTAATTAGCTCACAGTAGCTAGTGACAAGCCAACTGAAATCTAAATCTGATTTTAAAATTTTTATTGTTGAACACAACCGCTGATCTGTATACAATGCTGGCTCATAGAAATTCAACATTCTACAAGCTTTCTTTTTATTTTTCATGGGGTAATTGAAAATTACGTAGACATTCTACTTTAATACTTTCGACTAATTACTTCATTTATGTACATAATTTAGCATTCTACCATGATACTAATTTTCATCTCCTAAATTTCAACTTTAAGAGATAAGAATTGATTTTAAGAAATGAGATGAAACATCAGGATTTTCATTAGTGATTACCCTTTTTTCTTCTTTTAATTCAATAATTCCAAATATGCACAGTAGCAATATACAATTTGGATACTTTTCCTTTTTAACCCCCTTTCAAAATTAACAATATAAATAATTTCCAATGGTCATCTCATGAATATTTCAACCAACAAATTGTTCATTCTTCATTAATTAGTGCTAATCTCATTAAAATAATGTGGTCAATTATCTATATTTTCACTCTTTTGTTGACCTTTATTAACGCAGCTCCATTAACGCAGGGAACCAGAGCCAATGTGTCATTGTATCTAGAATCATCTGATGAACTGTTGAACAATAAGGTTCTTTATACTGCCAATCAAGGTAATTTCATTCATTTTTACTATGTTGGAGAAGAGTCTATTCTGTTTGCAACTACATTTATGTATGATGGCGCCAATTACCGCTTATATGAACAACAAAAAGGAAGCAATGATAAATATTACTTAACTATTCTTGATTCTATGTTGAGAGGTCAAAAAGATTCCGGGTTGAAAGTAACTTTGAACACTGATGGTAGTTTGGATTTTGCTGGAAGTGATCACTTGTATGCTTATAAAATGAGTGATGGAACTATTAAGTTCTTGGTCCTTTTGTTTGTTGGTGAAATCCCTACAAACGTAACTCCCGTTAAAGTTAAAGCTAAAATAAACTGGGCAACTTTGTAATAAAACAGCTCAAAAACTATCGTTGCATTTCACTTCTTTCATGACTTTTTTTTAAAAAAAATATTTTAGGATACCCCATTTTCTTTTAGTACGCCCTTGATATATCGAGCAATACCAAATCAAAATCACAAAACATAAATAAATAAATAAAATAAAATAAATAAATATACATTTTTCTTTTCTTTTCTATTATATTATATTATATCTTCTTAGGATCTAAGAAATGAGTGTCTATAAACTTGGGATTCGTGTATGTAAACCCAGTGATATTGAAAATATCTTTGTCCAAAGTGCTACCATTCTGTGGTGTGAATGCCATATCGGTAAAGTCAGAATCAAAATTCTCTGCCAATATAGGGTCCGTGATGATTGGCAAAATTGGTGGAATGGTTTCGGATTTGTCCAAGTTCTCCAACTCGTTCCAATTGACATGTCGGAAGAATCTATGTTTCTTGAACTTTTCAAAATCATCATCAACATTGAATCTCTTGTCGGGGTTCACCTGTAACAATTTCCTCAAGAGATCTTTGGCATCCAAACTCAAGTAGAATGGGAACTTCAACGTCTTCTTGCTCTGCACAATCTTGTCCATGATTTTCTTGTGGTTATTCCCAGTGAATGGTGGTGACCCTGTTAACAAATCGAATGCCACACACCCCAACGACCACCAGTCTACTGAATAGTCATATGGTTCACCCTTCAACACCTCAGGTGCCATATACTGGGCTGTTCCCGTCATTGAATGGTTCTTCTTGTCGTCATCACTCGACACTTTACTCAACCCAAAATCAGTCAACACCAAATTCCCCTTGCTGTTGAGCATGCAATTCTCTGGCTTCAAGTCTCGGTAGATGACTTTCAAGTTGACATGCAAGTACCTGATGGCCAACGCCATCTGGGCAATATAGTAGCTCGCATTCTTCTCACTCATAAACTTCTCCATGGCCAAATGATGGAACAATTCACCACCGTCGAGGTACTCCAAAATCAAATATAACTTGTCATTGTCCTGGAATGCATAGAACAACTTGACAATATTCTGGTGGTTGACAAGTTCCAATATTTGCTTCTCATTCAATGTTCGTTGGTAATTCTTCTCGTGAATCTCGTTGGTATCCTCATTGATGATTAAAGACGCTTTCTTCAACTGTTTCTGGGCAAACAATCGGCCCGTGGATACTTCTCTCACTAACAACACTTTACCGTAGGACCCTTTTCCCAAAACTTTGATCGGTTCAAAGTCCGACAACTTTGGGGTGTGAAATTTGTTGACCGGCGATTTGTTAATTATTAACGAGGATGACACATAGGAGTTTCCAATGTTGACTTCATATGACGAAATAATGCTTGATCTCCTACGTTGTCTGTCTGCAATTTTGATAGGTCTAGCAGATTGTTGGCCGGGATAATAATCTTGTGGATGGAGATGATTATCGTCTTCACCTTCTTCTTCTTCGATTGCCTCGACGATTTTATAGTTTAGTTCCGGATTGGTCAGGGTTGTGAGTTTGGTTTGGATCTGTGAAGCCAATCCAGCGACTTCATCCTCCATATCGAATATATCTGCCATGATTGAAAATAATATATATATATATATACTTGAATACTTATTTGCTGGTGGGAAATGTGATGACAGGTGTTGTTAAGTGTTGGATTATTGAATTCTGGTTATTTATCAGTCAGACCATACCGTTGTTTATATATATGAAGAGATTCGGAAGAAGAAACAAGTAGTCATTCTTAATTTTAATTGCAATGGTTTCAATTTACCACAAAGAGAATCTACACGTTGCTATGGAAGAAAAAATTTTCTTGCATCACGTGATTCGGTAATTAATTGACCAAGTTTCGTGCACTTCAAATGAATGTACTACAATGAACGATTTGTAGTTCTTGATCTCATTTAGATAACAAATTAGATGTCATTCTAAGGTTTCTGGCAATTCGGATATTGAAAAGGGAAGTTTTATACTTTGATATTGTTTTTTCAAGCCTAATTTTTTGCAAAGTTAAATTGAAAATGTCAACTATAATCCCTGAATTGATTTTGAAAACTGAACATATCGCATTTCAAATCGAAGAATATCAGAGATCGCTTTAATGCAAAGTATATAAGTTGTATTTAGAGAAAACTAAAGGCTCATAAAAGAGTTAATAAACCATCGAGGATTATTCATGTTATCATGAGTGTTTTTAAAAACAAATCACTTCCATCAAGTACCAACTCTTGTTGGATATTGATCCACTTTGAAATGAATTGGTCGTTACAAGTAGGGATCTGTTTCATCCTGGTGATATTTGTATTACATCTATTTTTAGTAATAGTGTACCTTCTTTTGTCAAAGTACACGATTCCTGAGAAAAGTAAGGATAAACAGAAAAAAAGAAAAAGAAAAAAAAAAAACGAAAAATCAAAACATCGAAACAAATTTTTTTTTTATTCGTTTCATTTCTGTGTGACAGTATAGCCTGCTCCTACAACCAAATCAAATCAAATTCAAATTTTTTTTGGGTGATACCTTCTTCTTTTTTTTTAACATACTTCATTTCATTTCATTTCACTTTACTTTTTAAAGACCCTATACGTTCGTTCACATAATTACAACCATATAAATTTCAAGAATGTCGTTTGGATCGTTTGATGAAATATGTAACAAGACAGCGTTACCATTATGTTCAGTTGTTGGTGCTGTTAATCAAAGTGCTTTTTTTCAAAGAGGTATTGTACCAGACTGTTACGCCAGATCAGTCGAGTTGGCAAATACAATGATCTTTCAAATCGGTAATGCATTTGTTCATTTTGGTGGATTGTTAATTTTATTAATCATTATATTCAATGTGAGAGCTAAATATACTGCTATTGGACGTAAAGAGATGTTGTTCTTTTTATATTTATTAATCGGATTGATTGTCAGTAGTTTGATTGTTGATTGTGGTGTTAGTCCGCCAAGTAGTGCAAGTTATGCTTATTTTGTTGCAGTTCAAATCGGTATTGCCAGTGCTGTTTGTATGTGTCTATTGTATAATGGGATATTGTACTTTCAGTTTTGGGAAGATGGTACTAGTAAATCCATGTGGGGATTGAGAATCGTTTGTTTTGTATGGTTTGCTGTCAATTTTATAATTTCATTGATCACATTCAAACATTGGAACACTGCTTTAGATTTCCGAAAGACTACTACATTGTTTGTTTTCACTTATCTTTTGAATGCTATAATTTTAGCCGTATACGTTGTATCACAGATAATATTGGGTGTTTTTGCTTTAAGAAATTACTGGTCCTTGGGTGCCATTCTTTTGGGTATTTTCTTCTTTGTTGCTGGTCAAGTTATTGCTTACGGTTTCAGCAATCAAATTTGTCGTGGTGCTGCCCATTATATCGACGGTATATTTGTTGCCAGCGCATGTAATGTTTTCACATTTATGATGATTTATAAATTTTGGGATATGATCACTCAAGATGACTTAGAATTTTCAGTTGCCGTTGAAAAGGCATTCTAAATGTTTGTGTGAGTTTTTTTTTCTTTGCACCACACAATAGTGGTATATATTTTTACTTAGGCATCAAATAGTAACATCAGAGAATATAGGTTCTGGTTATGGGACGTTTTCATATCGTATTAAATCTCTAAATGGGATCCTCTCGCAAGGGATCACCATGTGAAAGTTGAATTGAAAATAATAAATATTGGCATAACTCATTAATATAACTAAAACAAAACGAAAACTGAAAATAAATAAATAACTATATACTATAGGAATATGGTGGTGGTGTTGCTGGAGAAGGTGTTAGCATTTTCTCATTGAATTTATTCATAGTCTTCAATGCACCCAATCCAATTTGGGAAAATAAGAATTCGTGATTTTGAATGTTTACTTTTTCAGAAACAGCATGAACAACTTCTTCCTTTTCTTTCTTGACATCGACTGTTGGCTTGACCTCTGGTTCTGGTTCAACCTCCTTTGCCGCCTTCTTATGCAATTTTATAACTCTTCTCTTTGGAGTTGTATGCTTCTGTGGATTGATAATAACTTTTCGACTAGTACCTGTAGTAACATCCATTTTAGGTATGGACAATCCCATGGTTTCTCTGCTTCTGTAAAGAGAAGCAATCTGTACCAAATTTCTCTTAGATATTTCTTCCTCTAGACTATTGTTTCCCATAGGTGACGATGGTGTGTTGTTTTCTGTGGTGTCGGATGACAATGACGAGGAAGAAGACTTTTCAAGACTAGTTCTACCAGCTTTGGCTGCTGCAGCTGCACTCGAGACAGACTCAATATCCAACAATTTAATAGATAGTTTGTTGATAACACTAGGCATAGTCTCTCTAAATAATTCACTTAAGTTCTTTTCAATTTGCTTCTGGAGAAATGAAGATAACATTTCAAAATTGTCAAAAGTGGAATTAACCTTGATTCCTTCCAATGGGTCATTCTTGAAAACAACTGTAGCACCTCTTGATTTGGAGAATACAACACTGGCAATACCATTAAGTTTGATATCACTTAATTGTAAATCCAAAGGGACCAGAAATCGCTCTTTACTGAGCAAGAAATTAGGTGTTATGAATTGGTGGCGTTCTTGATTATCAATTTCATTCTCTAGACTATTTTGAAAGTAGTTGTTCAATGGATTACATTGTACTTTTGTGTGTAACGTCAAGTGGAAATCGCCCTGATAATTTATCTTAAAAATGCCTCTAAATCTGTCTTTATCTAATTCACCAATTTCTAAAATCTCGAAATCCGGGGCAATCTTCCCGAAATTCAAATCTTTTATAGTTATTTCAGAAGCAAGAATATTTGGAGACTTACCAGAATTTAATGCTGACGTCAATAAATCTTTGGTCCAACTCGTCAAAGCGTCGGTTTCTAATGTATTCCAGTTGACTTTAAATGACATGATGAACTACGAAAAAAAAAAATTATATTACACTGAGTTTTAACTTTTTATTTATGATACTTCTCTCAACGGACTAAATCTAATGAATATTTACAGGAACTTGTTAATAGTATCAAATGGATACAAAAAAAAACACTTGAAAATGATAATTTGTGGATAAATGATTGTAATTAAATGAAAACAAAAAGAAGTTGTAATGTGTGGAATTGCAAAAATTTAAATGTGAGAAAAAAATTTTTTTTCCTTCCTCCCTTTTTTTGTTTGTCTACAGGAAATTGTCGCATGGATGACTTAATGTCGTCAAATATGTCGTATACACTATGTTTATTTTTTTTATTGATTAGGCTGATTCCGGTTTTTAGCGGTCATCTAGTGTGACCTTCAGAGAAAAGGGTTACAGCGGCTCCGATTTTCGTATTTAACTCCGAGGCCAGAGTCAAGAAAACTAATTGACACACGACTTTTATTAATCTGGTGATTTTGATGTAAACCCCAGTGGGGGAATATGGAGAAAGGCTCATATAAAACGTACGGTTTAACCAACATGGATTAAATATAATCTGATTAAAATTTCAATAATAATTTTCTTCTTTACATAAAAAACAAAAAAATCAGGCAATACTAAATTCCGAAAGGGTTGTGAGTTGAAGAGTTATTTTATCTTACCTCCTCTCTCTTCTCCAAATCTGACCTGATTATTTTTATAAGGTTAGATAGGTAATTAATTTGAGAGACCGTTTATTGGTCAATCCTCAGGTTCAAGAAAGAAAAAAGAAATCAAAATCAAAACTATCGAACATTTAAATAATAAACGCGTCATCCTGGTCCGACGCGGACCAGAAGAACTCATGTATCAGAATTCAAGACGTGGTGCCAAAACAGACATGGTTCGTAATATGTCATAAGATATATTGCTATTACTTTGTAATATCAGTGCACTCCAATCCCAATGAACACGTGACCGACACACGTGATTGTTTTAAAATCCTACCAATATTATTCATGCAGTGTACTTATACTCTTTATCGCAAGTAATCACGCAAAACACCTGTTTGGTACTACAGACACATACAGTAGTAACACAAGCATCTTCTATTTTGAGTTGTATTTGGATACTTGAGTGGAGTGGACAAAGTCCCATGTGCCGAAAGATAAGTATTTCAGATAGTATTGGGATTTCACAAATGGATCCTCAAAACCAAGAAAACGCTTCAGCATTTGAACATGACCAAAACTGAAATATTAACATCAAGAACAATTGCCAGGGAATAGTGTACACACTCCTGTGTTTCATTGCCTTGTTTGTTTCAGGAGATCTAACCTTTCATATAATTCACCTTGATTTTCCTTTGGAAAATAGTTTCTCCTGGTGTGCTGGTGTAAATAGCATTAATTCATACCCCTATTCACAGAACCACTCATTCATTAAGCAATTAGAGGCGAACAGACCAGCAATGTCGAAAATTTCATGTCATTTTTTGATTTGATTTTTTTTTTTGTTTTTTTATTTTTAAACAAAAGCAAGTTTTCCAAACCAACCTGCCTTGTTTCTTTGAGTAACAGGCTTTGCTTATTACAGCATAGAAAAAGAGAAAATTTTTCCATTGTACGTCAAACAGATTAATGCTTGATGTATAATGTTTATACCTTCCAAGGCAGATTTTTCTATAGGCACATACCGCATGATTCTCCTTTGTGCATAAAGTAAAGGTTTACCGAGAAGCAGTATACGGAACAGTATGAAATTTAAACTTTTCGTTCGGCTTGTCAATACAGCTATTATACATAGTACTTGTATAAAATCTTATGGAAGGTGAATTTATACGTCAAATACAGATTAAGTTTATTATACTTATATGCTATTCATCTAATTGACACCAAAGAAATTATGCCCGAAGTAGGAACAAATTGGGTTCATACAGGAGTATTTGCATTTGGTCCCTTATTTATAATTTATCCCAAAGAATATTCCGGATCACAAATTGAAACCAATTTATTCGTAAACCACCAATTTGTATTTATTTTTTTTATAGACAACCGCCCAATTTCCCAATTCAAAAGGCGTGGTCATTAATTTGATGCAAATAGCACATTCGTAACTCCTTCAAAGATGTTAACTTGGCAACGGGAAACCAATTAGACGATCGAATTGATTTCCTACCTACCCTACGGAGAATAAAAGATTTCATTTCTCTAGTCTGGGATCATCATAGTATTCTATATATGTTGTTCATAATGTTGAAGATTTATTTACAAATGATACTGTACACAGTTGACACCAATAAAAGCAAATTGCCGCAATTTTCCGCCTCGGTATACTATCCAATCTAAGACAATATGTATCTATTCATGCATTAACACTATTGGTACTAAAAATAGCATACTTGGTTCTTGTAACCATGTAGAAATGTTGAGCTTTTATCGTCAACAAAAGCACTTCAGAAAGTATGCTATTATAAAAAGAAACATGTAATTATGAGTCTACTTTGGCATTTCAAAAGAATAAATAGGTTCACAAATGTAGATTTTGCATTGTATCCTTTTAAACCAGTTATCATGTACACCCTATGAAGTCAGGCTTTTTTTTTTTGGTTTATATTTTGTTTAATACAGTACTACCTGTATCTTTTGTTCTTGTTACATTATAATAGGTATCTTTCCATTGTTGTTTTGCTTAATTTGGTGCAATACTTGGCTGTGAAAGATTACTTGACTGGAAAGGTCGCGTCACGAAAAAAACGAATTGCAATCTGATTTTGTTACTTTTCACACGCCAAAATGTATGCGTAAGAATAATAGTAATAATAATAATTTTTTTTTTCCTGTCTAACTCTCCTCTGGCGTTTTGTTGTTGTGATTTCATAATTAATCTTAGACGATAATTTTTCTTTCATTATCACAGACCAAAAAAAAAAAAAATCAGATACATATACTGATTAACCTAATAAAGTGACAGATAGTTAGATTGGATAATTGCGTATACTTGCGTTACCTGGCCCCCGTTTTCACACTCACTACTATTAGTCTTAATAATCAAAAATACAATGCCAATGGATATCCTATCCCTTGGCTGGCAAGCATTTGAACAAGCGAAGAGTAATGATACCAAACCTGAGCCAATTCATTCAGTGGCTCCACAAAGAGTCTTTACAACCCAGTTGGTAATCACACTGGTATCAGGTGTATTCATATTTTTGTTATTCTGTTTCTTGAGATACAAATGGCCAAACATCTACGCGGTACGAATATTACGACAACCATCTGGCAATCCTCACACATTACGACCTTTACCAAAGAATCTATTTGGATGGATCAAGGTTGTTTATAAGATAACTGATGAAGAGATAATATCTTGTGCCGGATTAGACACTTATGTCTATTTATGTTTTTTCAAAATGGGTATCAAGATCTTTTTTGCCTTATCAATCATGGCAATATTTATACTAAGTCCAATTCGTTATCATTTTACAGGAAATTATGATAAAGATAGTCTTTTCGGTGTATTGAAATTCAAACCAAATAATCCACCTGATTTTAATGATGATTTTCCAAACTTTTACTGGGTTTATCCTATATTTACATATGTATTTTCCATCGTGGTGTACTACTACTTGTATAATTTTACAAATGTAGTACTAAGAACTAGACAGAAATACTTAGCATCACAAAACTCAATAACAGATAGAACAATAAGACTAGATGGAATTCCCAAGAAATTATTAGAAAGGGAGAAATTAAAGAAATTTGTTGAAGACTTGGGAATTGGAAAAGTCATGGACGTGAAGCTAATCTATAACTGGACGCCATTGGAAGAGTTACTAGAGAAGAGACATCAGTTGATGAATAATCTTGAACATTTATATGCTTCCATGTATAAAATGGACATTGATATCTACAATCGTCGAGAAATACCAGCTGTTAACCCCATTTGGACTGAGCCATTAGATAAAACTAAATTGTCTGAATTGTCAAAAAAGTATTCAACTGAGTTGATTGCTGTTGATGATGAAATCAAAATTATACAGGGCAAGTTTGACAGCGATCTTTCAACCATTGATGTGAAGCAGTACCAAGATTTTAAGCAAATCCCATCAGCATTTATAACCATGGATTCAGTAGCTTCAGCACAAATGGCAGCACAAACCATTTTGGATCCAAGAGTATACAAATTAATGGCCAGCTTGGCACCCGCTCCAAAGGATATAATTTGGGAGAATTTAAAGTTGACGTATTCTGAAAGAATGTTGAAGTCTTATTTTATAACGTTTGTTATTGTCTTGAGTTACGGATTCATTATATTTTTGGTTGTTCCATTAACATCTTTGTTGGATTTGAAGACAATTACTAAGTTTTGGCCAGCGTTGGGTCAATTTATCGGACAATCTAAATGGTTAACCACTTTTGTTACTGGTATCTTACCACCATTATTGTTTACACTTTTAAATGTCCTGTTTCCATATTTTTATCAATATTTGTCACAATCACAAGGATATACTTCCAATAGCGATGTTGAATTATCCACATTGCTGAAGAATTTTTTCTTTATATTTTTTAACTTGTTTTTGATTTATGTTGCTGCAGGTACCTTTTGGGATTATATTTCATACATTAGTGATACCACCAAAATCCCTGTTCAATTGGCCACCTCGTTGAGGAGAATGGCATTGTTTTATGTTGACTTGATTCTTTTGCAAGGTTTGACCATGTTCCCTGTGAAGTTATTGCAAGTGAGCGATTTCTTCTTGCTTAATATTTTAGGAAAATTGTTGTATTTCAAGAAGTTGATTTTAAAGACTCCAAGGGACTATCGTGCATATTATTTCACACCGCAAATATTTGATTTTGGAATTAATTTACCGCAACACATACTTATTTTTATCATTATTTTAATTTATTCAGTTGTGTCAACCAAGATTGTTACATGTGGTTTGGTTTATTTTGTGTTGGGATTGTTTGTTTACAAATATCAATTGGTGTATAATTTTGTTCACCCACCACATTCAACAGGTAAAGTTTGGCCAATGATTTTCCGAAGAGTTATATTGGGTTTAATTATTTTCCAATTGTTCATGGTTGGTACTTTAGCATTGGAGAGTGCTATCATGTTGTCAATCTTGTGTTCGCCATTAATTTTTGTCACAATATTAGTCTTGTGGAATTTTGAAAAATACTATGTTCCATTAAATACATTCATTGCATTAAGAGCAATTTTGAACCCATATGATTTTGACAAAGTATTTGATGATGACCAACTGTTTAGTTCTAATAACAATGAATCAGATACATCGGCAATTTTGGATGAATTGGATGACGTGGATGATGTGAATTCAGAACAGCCACTTGATGAAAGTTCATATTTGTTGGGTGAAGAAAGCAATGACACAAATGGTACTAAAAAACCCAAGGCACAAAGTAGCTCATTAAGTACAGCTGAACATACAATTAGTAGAAGAAAATCAACCTTGGATGAAGAACGAGAACAATTCACCGATTATACTTATCCAGGTTTAATTGATCCTTTAGATGGTCCATGGATTGGATTTACAGGGAATTTTGTTTCGATGATTGAGTATAAACCTCAATTGCAGCAAGTTTTGGAAGAAGGTAGAAATAATGATGAAATTGCTATAGTTGACATTAATGAACAGGATTTGGTTGTCAATAAAAAATTAAAGGTTAGTGAATGGGAATAGATTGAATAATAATAATAATAATAATAATAGTATAGGATGATTATCTTTATTTTTTTTATTTCAAAGTATATAGCGTTTAAAAAACAGAAATATTTTTCTTTAATGTAAAATAGATTTAATCTTGATTATATAGATTAGTAGACTCATCATTCTTGTAGACTAATATGAAGAAAACATAGGAGAATGGTTTTTGCTTTTATGCTCTACTCCATTTAATCACTTAGTAAGAAGTTGAACATCATGAAAATGTGCATAAGTTATTAATTTAATTCTAAACCAAATCTATACGTACGTACATTCCAAATATTAAATCACGAAATACAAAACAATAATAATAATAATAAAAAAATAAGAACTACACAATGAAATGATTAATTATATTTATTCTAAAATATGAAATAAGATGCAAATTAGTGAGTCACCAAATGAACATTAAAATTGATAAATAAAAGATAATGAAATGAACTGAAGGAAAAGTAATAATGAAATATACAAGCAATTAATAATAATTATAAAAAAAAAACAAGAAATATAAGGATGCAAAAGGACACAACACTTTGATATTGATATCAACAATTTTTTTTTAGAAAAGGAAAAGAATATCAGACCGTTTATCTTGACTTGACTTTTTTTTAATTTTTAAATATAACGTTCTGGAATGAACAAATTTGTCAATTTAAAAACCCAGTAAAGTTGACTTTTTCAAGTCTTTTTTTGATTTCTTTCTTGGAATTCTTGTTTTGGCTTGATTTCTTTTTCTAATCAAAGAAACCTCTTCTAATTTTTGTTGACGTAAGAATTTATCAGTGACATAATCAGGTTTTTCTGGACTATAATCACATTGTAATCCAAATTTGGCACAACCTCCACAAACTGGTGTAACTTCATCACATTTCAAATGTTTAATTCTGCAAATCCAACAACCTTTTTTGGATCTTGGTAATAATCTTCTCCTAGTGTGTTTTTTCTTCACAGGAGTAACACCAACGTCAAAGTCTTCACCTGATTCTGACTCTGTCTTTGTAGAATCTGTTGAGGATTTACTACTAATTCTATTTGCATTGGCATTTGCTGTTGTTCTTGTTGCTGTAGAAGATTTTCTTCTGGTTTTCTTCATTGGCTTCTTAAGTGGTTGACTCAGTTGAACAGATGGTGCAACAGTGGACGCAGAATTATGACGGAAGACATTCATCACTGGTAAGCCATGATGTGATCCATGTGATGAAGTTGATGAGGTATTGGAAATTGATCTCAAACCAACATTTCCAGCAATAGAACTTCCAATTACTGGTGGTGGTGGCTGGGTAAAATCAGAAAAGTCATTCTCATCATCGTCTTCTTCTCCTTCTTCATCATCGGTTATTTCCGTTTGAATATTGGCAAAGCTGGCTTTGCTTTTCAAAATTGGAGAAATTATTCTTACTGGAGGTGGTGAATTATGTTCAAGATCAGTAGGAGTAGACAAAGATTGAACCAAACTTGCTTGTAAGTTTTTTCTTGATGATGTATTTAACCTTGACAAAGATGATTTCTTGGTAATCTTCTTACGAGTACTAGATGTAGGCGGAGGAAGCTGTGAATTATGAATATTCAGATAAGGAGTAGAAGAAGGAATTGGCGATTTTAATTTATGGCCAATGGTAGAAGATGGACGATAAAGATGAGATTCGTCCAAGACAGTACTAAAATTTGAAACATCAGAAATACCAGCAGATAAAGGAGGTTCACTTAAATGGGAAGGAGTATGAGGATATTCTTGTACTTGGCTTGTTGGGATTGAATCGTGAAACTGATTTTGTTGTGGTTGCAAAGTTGGAGGATATGTTAAAGAGATACCTGGTTGGCTGTATTCTCCAATTGAATCAAAGGAGGTGTTGTTGAACTCCAAATCGTGATTAATCATCAAATCAGTGGATTGATTTTGTAGGTTATACAAAAAACTTGTTGTCTCTGTTGGAGCTGAACCTATCTTTGAATAATCTTGAGAATGTTGCATAATAGATTGCGATTGGGATGATTGTTGGTGTGCATCCAAATTTGGTAACGAATTAACAGAATTAGCAAATTGAGGATTAACAAATGAGCTATAAGGATGCTGAGGATTATTACCAAATTCATTAATATATTCATGGTAGAAATTATTTGGTTGTAATGGTTGGGTTGTTGTATCCTGTGAAGCTTGAGGAATTATTGACATCAGTGGAGGAGGAGGTAATTGTTGTTGCTGTGATGATGATTGTGATTGTGATTGTGATGGTGGTGGTGGTGGTGGTTGTAAAGATTCATATGGTGATCTTTGGGAACTATTGATTGTTGCCGCATGTGCAGGATTAAAAGATGTAACAGAATTGTTGTCAAATTGAAATAATTGATCAACAGGTGTTGAAGTATAATTAGTGGAGTATACTTGTTGCAGATATTGTTGATGTTGATGTTGTTGTAACATATGAAACTGATTTATTTGTTGGTGTTGGAATTGTAAACTCTGAAGAAAGTTTGATGATGTGGCTGGTGATGATGCACTAATCACAGATGAATTCAATTTGATTGTGTCTTCTCCGCAGGGTGAATTTGGTGGTGAAGAAGTAGAATCAGGTGTAACCATATGTGTAATCATTTAAGACCAAAATTTTTTTATTAATAATACGCTGGAAAAGAATAAGCAAAGCTGTTAAAAAATAATTGAAATTAAATTAAAGAATGGAAATGTTCAAATAGATTGTAAGTTGGATGGAAGGTAAAGCGAGTGACTGAACTTATGAATATCTATTGAACAATAAACCTAGTTTTTAGGAGTGATGGTGGGTATTTTGAATGTTAAATTGTGGAGGAAATGAGTGTGACTAGTTTAATACTGATGGAAATTTATGGTTTGCAAATCAGCACGGATGGAGTTTTCCTTTTTTGGTTTGTTTCCTTTTTTTTACCTTAAAGAAAACAATTAAAACTTATACTTTGAATTTCAGACTTCAAGTTCAAGTGATAAGCAATCAATGAGTTTCAAGTAAAGCAAATGAAACACAAAAGAAAAGTGTATTGAATTACCAACGACGCTTTTATGATGATGATAATGATGATGTGGTTGTAATATATAACCTTGAGATGGTCTGGTGGTAGTGTGTGGGTTGCCAGAAAATCACAAAAGTAATCCCAAAAAAAAAAATAAAAAAATTCAAGGGTCCTGTTTCGGATAGTCGTGTTAATATGCGACAAATTTTAAATTTCTTTTTTCTTTATTAGTAGAAAATCTTTCTTCTTTGGGGACCAGTAAATTTCACAATAGATTTAACAATAAATGGGCCAAAGTTTATATCCAATATGAATATAGTCTTTTTGTTGTTGTTTTAGATAAATGCTATTCTGAGAGCAAGAAGGGTAAATTGGCTCACTTGGATGAAACAAATTAAAGCCGACTTAACAATGAAGTGAAAATTTAGTTACCTGGTTGATTTCCTGATTACACAAAAGTGTACCTTTTTTTTAATAATCAATAACTATGGAAGTTTTAATTAGACCCTCTGGAATATGGATAAGGAATATCAAAAGAACCGTGTCACTTAATAATAATAATACCCTTAAAAAAAGAAACCTAGATTAAACTAATGTAAGAACCAAGTATAATATCAAGATTCAAATAATTAACTCTATCTCAGAAAATTTTGTCTCTTTTTTTTTTTTTTTTGCTTATAAAATTTTTTTTTGGAGCCTCACCTGTTATAGGAATGTGTGTAACTAGGTGGAGAATTCAAAGCAAAATCTAAAATAAAATAGCCCAAACAATAAAGTAAAGGGTAAGTAACGAATGTAACTATCAACTGATATCAAGAACAATAAAAAGGGAATGGCTTGGGAAAGGGAAAGGGTTTGGAATTTGAATCAATTGCTTTCTGGTATGAAGGAATGATAGTAGATACGAGCAATTAGTATAGTAAAGAAATAGTTGTGGATTTCTTTGCTTATTCTTCTTTAAAAGGTGAACTCAAACAGGATAAAATTCCAGTAGATACAAATTTTTAATGCTCGAATATTTGAATAAAATATTGATAAACCGCTTATTACACAAATACGGTTGGAGGAGAATTTTCTTTTGGGTTGGGTTGAAGAAAGTGAAAATTCAAGAACTAATGGTGGTTGATTTTTGAATAACAATATTTCAAATGATAAAGAAAGTGTATTTTGTTGCAATTGTGTTGTTTTCTATTTTTGGTGGGAACTGTGAATCTTCAAACTATTTGGTGTTTGATATCACAATATAGTTTATATAACAAAGTGTCAATCTTATGATTTTTGCAATGAGTGCAAGTGTGCGAATATGCGTGTGATGAACAGAATGGGTAATCAAGGTTTTATTTCTGTTTTTTTTTAACAAAAAAAAATTGATCAGAATAAGGGACTTGATAATGAACTTGGTTGATATCTCTATGAACAGGTTAAGATGAACCTTCAAATAGCAGAATTGCAAAGATAAAGCAAGAAAAGGTGGATACAGAGATGAACAAAAAAAAACCCAAGAAACAAAAGAGAAAAAAAAAAATATAAAATAAAATAAAAGAAGAAGAAAAGAAAAAAAAATTGCCAATTCAAATGAATGAATTAGATTTATATATAAATTAATTCACTTTTTGCTTTTTCTGAACAAATAGATGATATGTGATAAATGTAACAAAAGAAGGAAAAAGAAATGGAAAGAGAACGTGAATAGGATTTTTTTTTGTTTTTTTTTTTATTTGGATGTATGATGTATGTAAAACCCTCAAATTCTTGTAGGAGAATAGAAATTAATTTTTTAATATATGGATATTTGCTTTAGATATCTCCTTTGTGTAAAATTGTTTGGTCTACATTTGGCAATTTGGATATAATGATACAAGAAGACAAATAATATATAAAAAGGCTTTAAATTTGTGTCCTTGCATACATATTCCACCGTTTTAACAAGCTTTACATTTATATTTTTAGATTTTGCATTTAAATTTATGCCCAAATAACAAAAAGACATTAAAAAAAATTAGACAAAAAATACAAATTAAAAGAATCACGACAGAAAGTTTTTTCTTTAAAAATGACAATTTAATTTTTAAGATGGTTAGTAGTGGTTATTCAAACTCAATGTCTTCTGTTCTTCCGTGTTTATTATCTTAGGAATGAATTGGACAGCTAATTATCCAGTTTCAATTGAAAATGTTCTATGAAAAATATCTATATATATGAAAAAAGCTTTATTTTTTTTATTCTCTTTCTGTGGTACAAGTAAATCAAAGATATTGTTTGCAAGTTTAATTACAATTTTTTTTGGTGATGCACGACTCAAGGGGAACACAAATGAAAAATGAGACACTCCCTATGGGTTTTTTTTTCAGGACAATCGACAAAGTAGAATTGGACAATGTGAAAAAGCGTGTCCCTATTTTGTGGTTGTGGTGTATGCATCCTGCAGTATGGGTTCTTGAGTTGGTTTTTTTCCCATAGTAAATCGTCCTAATGTCTTTGACTAAGTGGGTCTATTGTTTTTTGTGAAATTTATGTAGATGTCCCACTTCTATTTGATTTTTTAAGTACTTCAACATTTGACAAAAAAAAATAGATATATTCTTTTGTTGTTTCTTACTTATTCTATAGGAACTTTTGTTTACTTTAAACTATTAGCCGAAAAGATAATATCCAGACATAGTAGACTTTTCTTTTTTTTTTGTTTGTTTTCTTTTTTATTTTTCAAATTTAATATTGTATGAACAACAAAGGGTAAGTCAAAGGGTCAAAATTGATTTGAATAAAACAAAAAGAATATAGAATAATAAAAAGCCCAGCTTCTTTCCTTATTTCCGTATTGAACTTGATATAACGTGATTTGTTTTCTCTTTTAATATAAGAATCTCTTTTACTTCCCTGTACCGCGATGATTACAAAACTGAAATTAAAGAATGACAATTTAACCTTTTTCTTTGGATTTCCTGGTTGGTTGGTTTGTCCTCTATTGTTAGTAGGAGAATTAAGATATCTATCTATATAGACTTCTATATACATACGAATATATATATATATATATATATAAACTTTTGTGAGAGGTTATTGCTTGAAACTTTTTTTTAATATTATTTACTTGATTGTTCATTTACCAAGAAGAGGGTTCTCCTCACGCCATAAGTATCAGAGATCATAGCCAATAGGAGTGAAGTTCCTGGAGAAGTTTATAATCGCAAAGTTATTATCAGGGAACGTCCATAGAACTGAAATACAAAAGGAACGAGAGGCGAGGGGGGTGTACAGTACAAGTGATTTCCATGACTATCAAAATCGCATTAGAAATTTTAACTGCAAAAATTTTGGAAAAATAAAAAAAAAGCACAATACTAAAAACAGCCTGGAAAGTAGGAAAGTGAGAAAAGAAGAAAATTTAAAAATTATTTTGGGGCTGCACTTCACGGATACTAATAACCACTTCTACATATTTCAAGAAAAAGAAAAATAATGATCAAAAGACAAACAGGAAGAGGAACATATTAGACAACAAACTGGGATTGAGTTCAAATTGACAATCACCAGTGTTTGCATATTACTAAACAATTGTGTTTGCCTCTTTTTCCTTTTGCCTTTTTTTTTTGCTGTATTTTGAATTCCCTGTTCTATTCTTTTATTTCCTATTTATGACATATTTTTACTTAATTGTTGTTGGGTGACTTGTTCAAGAAAGTGTTGATGCATAAATCATTAAAATGAAATAATACAAAATAAAAAGTCAAGAACTCATAACGCGTAGTTGTCCTTTATGATTATGAGTTTTAGCTTATCTAGTGTGTGTATTAATTTTTCTTTGAAAAATTTGAAAAACTTGAAAAACAAAAACAACCAGGAAACTCAAAAGACTTTTAGTTAAAGTCCATTGTCCCGAACAAGTATTGTTTATAGTCTTGAGTACTAATATTACATTATATTTGTATATAATTAAGAGATAAACTTATATAACGATAGTGGGTTTAGTTATTCGAAAAACGCCGTAAATTGTATTTGTAATCTGAGCTTGTGATGATTACCATCGGATTATTTATTATTCCACATACACTAAACTCTTTGTCATTTTATTTTTCGGAGAACTGCTGTAACTTGACCTTCAATAGCATTAGAAATTCCAAGATTTAAGATATAGTTCCAGAATATGAAACAATATGTAGGTTTTTGTTTGTATTGATGACAATATTAATCCTTATTACAAAGTTCATTGTGTTTTGGATTTCTTTCCTTTTATACCAGAAAAGTTATTATCGATTTGGTGAAAAAAAAAAGAATTAACTAATGTGAATCTCAGGCGGCACAAAGTTAATCTGGTTCCAGGGATTTTCACCAATTACCTCTTTATATCTATATATTAAAAAAAGAAGTAAAGGACAATGAAGTTAGAGTCATGGATTTTTTTTTTTTTTTGGCAGTATTGACTATTCCCATATAACCGGCACTTTTATTCAGGGCCCCTTTCCCCTTTTTTATTTTTCTGGGATTGATATTATCCGTTTCCCATTATTTTTGCCATGGTTAGAAACGTTTCTCCTGTTTCTTGTAGTATAGTCTTAGAATCTGGTGTATCTTTCTTTTTTATGGCTGTGTCGTGCTTTGTGTGATTGG